CCCCTCTAAACTCAGTCCTTAACCGCAACCCCATCCAGTCTTGTCCCCAGTATTGCTAGCCTGACCTCAGAACCTTGCCTGACCTCATCCCATTTCTGAAACTCATCTTGCCCTATCCTGATGCTTCATCTCTCTCCTCCCTAAACCTTTGTCCAGTCTCTGACCCCCTTCCTACTCATGTCCTATCCCCTTGATCCCGACTTGATCCAGTTCTGCCCTGCTTTCTCACCTCTCACATCTGTACTTTCTTCTTATCCCTTTGGCCCCTCTCCTGACTCCTGATCTCTGCCCTGGCTCACCACCTTTGGAAAGTCTTCTGCTTTGGAATGACTTCTGCTCTATTTCTGCCCCCAACCCTGTCCTATTTTTCCCTGTCCTCTCTTGCCCATCATCATACCCCTCCCAATTCTCACTCTGTCCTGGTCTTTTGCTATTCCTGACCTCCAGCCTGAACCTGCCCCTTTCCCTATTCCTTCCCTTGACCACTGTCTTCTGATTGCTGTTCTGTATTGATCCTGGCCCCTGCCCTGCAGTTTTGTCTCCTTGTGCTTTGTCTCTGACTGCTGTCCTGAACTTCACTCCATCCCATTCCCTGGCCAGTGTTGTGGCTCATTCCCTGTCCTGCCTCTTAATCTCCATCCTGTTGTGACTCTGATTCTGTCTTGTGTCCTGCATTCCTTCCTGTCTTGTTCCCTCATCCCATCCCAACCGTGGACCCTTGTTCTACACCTTACCATGTTTCTTCACCTGTTCAGATCTCCTTCCTTCTTAACACTCATTTTCCATCCTCTCTGAGCCCAGAAGGACAGGGGTCCCATTATACCCTGCCCCTGAACTTGGAAGTTCCTCATTCCCAGGACCTCTGAAGTACATCTCAAGTGCTTGTCTTAGCAAAAGGAGGAATGAACTTTCATTCCTTGCCTGAGCAAGGAGTCCTGTGGGGCTTATTGGGGTTTTTGTATGTTATCTCCCTCCATTTCTCTCTCTGTCCCAGGAGGGCATGGAACTGTTCCTATCTATGCTCCCCCCAGATCTCTCCAGTATGAAAGAACACGCTAAATTATTCAATGGCTCTCTGAAAGTCTGTGAGTTCCGTGTCATGTTTCCAGCCTTGCTAGGTTGGAGGCTGCCCCACGTCAGGAGGGTGAGTGAGTATGTGGGGGTAGGGGATCCAGGAGTATGTGTGAATCTTCCAGTCATGTTATTCCCATCCCCTGATCTTGATTCTGGATGTGTGGTCCATGCTTTCCTTACTTGGACTGAAATCCATTCTGGGCCAGAGGCTTCAGGGCTTGGTGGGGGTAGGATGGGGGCAGAAGTTTATCTCCCCTTCTCTCTCAGCAGTAAACAATATCAGTTCTTGTGCTAAGTCTGCCCACATCTGGGGGGTGGGCCTGGGAGGGAGTGTCACTGGATGTTAGAATCAGGTCTATCCAGTAGTAATTATAACAACAACAATATTAATATGAGTATCCCTTGCTGTTTGAATCTCCTTTATTCTGAGATAGATGGGGAGGATTTGGATAGTGAGGGAATAATATGTTATTCAGTTAGGTTTTGTTCTTGCATTTCTTATTGAGAGTAGTGGCAACATGAATAATGAGAGCTACCCAGACTCATCTCATTTATTCAAAATATGTATCCAAATTGTTAATAACAATACCACCACTACAAGCATTCCTTACTGTCCCAATATTTGGTACCTGAGTTCTGAGAGGAAGCCTTCTGATCTACTGATCATTCAGACAGTGAAAGATACCAAGTTATCCTAAATTATTTGGTTTCCATATTTTACATAATAGGTAGTGAGAGTTCAGATAATGAAGAATAAGGACTCTAGCTCAAAAATGTATTCAAATCTATCCACTTTCTTGTGTTCCAGTAGCAAGAGTTGGGATAGCTAGGGACTGTGTTGTATAAACATTTGGTTCTTGCATTTTGCCTGGTGAGTAAGGAAAGCTCGGAGGGGTACCAACTCTATCTCACATACATATATATAAATCCATTCGGTTGCTGAATTTGGATAGTGAGAGTTCAGGTAAGTTAGTTATCTGAATGTGTTTGGTTCCAGTATTTTTGATGAGTGGAGAGAGGTTGAATAATGAGGGAAAATAGCTCTGTTTCAAATTTTTCTGGTAAAGTTGAGGCAAACCTGTTTAGTGTCAAAAAAAAAAAGTATGTTTTATTCCTGAGTTCACATAGGGAGGAATACTTGTAATCGTGACAGCCAACACATATTGAACACTTACTGTGTCCTAAGCAAGCTTTAAATATATTAACACATTTAATGCTTACAGCAACCCTCTGTGGTCCATACTTTTACCATCATTTCTATTTTATAGATGAGATTGAAACAGAGAGAGGTTAGTTACATGATTTATCTAAGCATTCACACAGCCAGTAAGTAGAAAGAGCTGAGTTCAAGCCTGCCACTTAACTAGCCATGTAGGGCCACCTGAGGTTCAGGACCTGGCTATGGTGGGGCTAGGAGGTTGTGCCATCTCCCAGGCTGTTAAAAGTCATGGACCAGGGCAATGATGTGAGTGGGTAAGTCTGTGCTTCCTGAGTGACTGGCCCAAAAGGTCTAGTTACCTGCTCTCCCCTGATTCCAGCACCAGCGCATCTCTGTGTGAGTTTATTATTGTTACTGTTAACAGTCATTAATAACATAGTGTGAGTTTCCTCGGACTTTGAGATGCTTTCCAAAGTTACATTGGCTTCTGTTATATCTGTAACCACCTTTTACCCATTTTACAGATAAGGAAACCTAAGCCTTGAGACTTAATCTGCATTGCCAGACAGTTCTCTTGCCCTTCTTGGCTCTGAGTTTGTGAACATCTTTCTTTCCAACATCTTTGGTGGACTACAAGAGGCAGGAGAGGCTATGGCTGAGAGGACATTCCCCACTAACACCTAGTTGCCCACCCACTGCTGTCATCCTCTAGTAGCCCCAGATAGTGAAGGAAGGAAAAAGGAGGATGGGGGTAGTAGGTGAAAGGGGCCTTTGTGTCCTGTGCTGGAAATCTCACACCCAGGAAGAAAGGTGGACTGGATGGCAGGAGGCCTTCATTAACATATGGAAAGAGCTCTGGTCTAGGCCTGGCCCACCCTCTAAGCAAGGAGGGAGTTGACCTTACTCTGTTCTTTCACCTCATGGTATGAGCTGCTGCAGGGGCCTGGGTTGGGCTTAGGCCCTGAGGTCACAGAGCAGATGGTCCCAAATCTGTGTGGTTATGCTGCCATGGGCCTAGAGCCCAGGTGGTTCTACTGGGGGAGACAGTACATCATAGGGATTCGGAGCCAATTTCCTTATCTGGCATGAAACTGACTCCTGGCCAGAAACACATGAGGGGAAAAAACGGGGAGACCCAGCCTGAATATGAAGAAGCATGAGCCCTCTTCCCCATTCTCCCTCCATTGTAGGACCCAGCCCCCTACCCTCTGAGTTCTGATGCTACCTGTTCTTAGGCCACTGTGATCTGAATCAGGCCTCTTCATCTTTTCAAACCTCAGTTTCTACTTCTATAAAATGACTATGAGGAGCCTAAGTCTGTGTTATCCAGGTTTGTAGGGGCCAAGAGGGCTTAAAATGCATCAGTGTTTTTGTAGAGTATAAATTGCGGTCAATTTACTGGCATTATTCCTTCTGGGGCTGCGGAATGTGATAGGGTCTTAAGACTTGTCTTCTCTTTAGAAAGATCAACCTCTTCTGTCCCCTGCTTGGGAAACTGTTACCCTGACAATGGTGGGAATTGCCCCTGTCACCTTCCACAGCCCCTGCCTTGCCCTGGAGGAAAGCGTAGGGGCCTCAGGAATGTGATGGCACTGCCAAGAACTATAAACCCAATTCATACTTGGGGTCACCCATGTGCTTAACAACTCCCCAGTCATCCGTCCCCCCAGCTCCAAGTTAATATTCTTGGGTGGGCAGGGTCTGATTCTTGGAAAATTTGGGCAGCAGGAAAGGCAGCTGCCACTCCCACGACCCTTAGCCCTTCTTTCCCAGTTCTCAGGTCCCAGCTGGAGTTTGGTGGCATGGTGGTTAAGTGCCCAGCTACTAACCAAACGGTCAGTGGTTCAAACCCACCAGCCACTCCATGGAAGCAGTGGCAATCTGCTTCTGTAAAGATTATAGCCTTAGAAACTCTATGAGACAGTTCTACTCTGCCCTATAGGGTTGCTTTGAGTTGGAATTGACTCAACAGCAGTGGGTTTTTTGATGTCCCAGCTAGATGTATTGGGGTATGGAGGGAGTTCCAGGCTCCCTTCTTGGCCATGCTTGGTACCCTGAGAGGACCTGGCCCTGATACTACCCCTAGAAGTGGCCTTGCCCTGGTGGCAGGCAGGGAAGGGTTAAAAGGGATGGGCTGGCCCAGTCCAAGCCCAGGTAGGCTGGGCCATTCCCTAATAGGAGGTGGTTGAGGCATCTACAGCCACTGCCACCAGCTACCACCAGTGGAGCCAGGACTTGGTTGAGACAAGTATTTACTTGAGATACCTGAGGTTCCCCACAGCAACTTTCTGGCATTGGTGAGCACTTGGACACAGTGGGTAGTGATGGGGGAAGAGGAGGGAGGAAGACATCAGAGGAACTGAGTGGAGTGAGCTGAAGTTTCTCAGCGGGAGATTGCTAAGTCAACACTGTAGGGAGGGAGTGGGGAGAGGTAAAGCAAAAAACATCTGATTGCCTTTCTCAGCATGAAGCATGCCAATTTCTGGCCGGAAATGGATGAGGGGGAAGGATGGGGAAAGACCTAGCCAGGACAAGAAGCATGAGCCCCCCTGCTCCACTCCTCTCTCCTCTACTTCCTCTCCCCCTCCTCCAGCCCAGGGCCCACACCCCCAGGAAAGCCCAGACTAGGCTGTTGGGAAACCATTTCCCAAGTACCTGCCTGCCTGTTTCACATTTATTCACCTAGAGTGGAGGAAGGGGGGCACTAGGCAAGGGTGGGGAATAGTCCTTGATATTGGAAGTTTGGATTTATTCCATTGGTGGCAGAATGTGGAAAAGGGGTCGCACTGAGGGTATTGGGTACCACCCAGGTGAGGTGTCTTGGTTGTAAACAGTCATTACAGCCAGGAATTTCTTTCTCAGCTATGGTGTCAGAAGGGCAGACCTGAAAAACCTGCTGGGCCCGCCTGTGGGTGTGTGTGAGGGTGCCCGCTGCAGCTGGCTGCAGCTGTCTTGCTGCAGCCCGTCCCTAGGTCAGAGCTATGGGGTCACCAGAGGAAAGATCCAAGGGCTGATGTGGGTGTGTGTTGGGGAGGGGGTTGCTGGGATCCCCCTTCTCACTGTCTCTGGGTGGGGATAGAGCAGGTCCAGACCCCAGGACTGGTATGCAAAGGGCAGATGAGAGGAAGCAAAGGTTTGGAAACTGTGTGTGGAGGTGTGGGGTGTTGACCCTGTGTCTGGCCCACCCAGTGACCCTGTGACTCAACTCCTAGCTATGTCCCTGAAGTCAGGTTGACAGGGTGGAGTTGGGGTTCCTGTCTGAACCCTGTATTGTCTTCCAGGATGCCCTGAGCTCCCAAAGGCAAAAGGCTTAACACAGCCAGTGTGGGATGTGGGACCAATCCTGGCAAACAGGCCATGGGGTAGGACCTGAGATTCCTGTTGGAGGGGAGGAAAGTTCAGGGGAGCCCTGTGAGAATTCCCCAAACCCAAATGGGGGCCGGGGAAGTGAGAGCCCCAGAAGCCAAGGGGCAGACAGGGCTGAGCTGGGACCTCAAGGAAACCCAGCCATGCAGGGAAATGTGTTTTCTTAGTCAATCAGTACTCCTTGCCAGACCTTGTTGTTGTTGTTATTTGCCGTCCAGTCGGCCCCGACTCATAGTGACCCCTCCTTGGGTTTCCGAGGCAGTATCACTACGGAAGTAGGATTGCCCAACCTTCCTTCCAAGGAGTGGCTGGTGGGTTTGAACCGCCAGCCTTCTGCTTAGCAGTCAAGTGCCTTATGCACTATGCTGCCAGACCTTAGATGGGTAGAAATGTGAGTGCCTCTGCAAAGTACACTTGAGTTTGCAAAAATCCTTTAGGGACTGACCCCTATCCCTGATGTTGAAGACAAAGGATCACTGCTTCCAAAGAGGGGTACAGACTGTGGGGACAGGGGGTAGGAAGACTGCAAAGAAACTATCAGGACCTTAGAGGCAACTTGGCCATACCCCACAAGGTATATATAGATGGGGAAGGGGCTTGAATCCATTGCCTCCTTGGTTACCTGGTTCTTCTCCACACCTGGCCACCATGTCATGACAAACTGGATTTTGAGTGGGTGGCAGTGGACTTCTGTGGCCCCATGAGGCCATCCCAGTTGCCTGCTATGGAGGCCAGGCCAGTTGGTAGGAGGTGATGTCACCCGGCTGCCCAGCTGGAACTGTGCAGGATGTGGGAGAGAGGGAGTAAACTACAGAGGAGGAGACAAGGGTAGAGCTGGCAGCCAGCCAAGGTGTCTAGGGCAGAGAAGGAGGCAGTCGATTTGTTATCTGCAGCTATAGACTTTGCTTCTCATAAATCCTAATAGGGTTCATTCCCTAAGCTGGGGCTAGAGGGGCCCTGGGGTCAATGAAAATGCTCTTTGTGCTGCACCAGGGGCACAGGACAGAGTTGGGATAAGTATATACCCACAGAGTTGGGCTTGAGTCTTGGCTTTGCCACCTCTTCATTTATTTATTCAACCATTTATGCATTCAGCTGGCAGACATTCATTGAGTGCTTTCTGCATTTATAGCAGTGTTCAAGGTGCTGGAGATGGCTGAAGAAAACAGGACAGATGTGTTTCCTATTCTCAGAGATGTATGGGGAAGGTACAGTGAGAAAACATAATGCAGAGGTTCACCTCTGGAAGTGACTTATAAAGCTCAAGAATGACAAGTGAGAACCAGGGGTTGGGGTAGTAAGAGGTTGAAAGAGCACTCCAGGCAGTAGCCATAGCTACTGGACTTGGGAATTTATAAGGAAGTTGGTGGGGACAGAGCAGGTCTCGTGAGGGAGAGTGTTGGACTAGAGGGGTGGGCCTGGTTGTATTTCTGGTCTTGGGCAAGTTACTTGACCCACTCTGTGCCTTATTCTCCTTTTTACAATGGGGGTAATAATAATCACAGAACTGCCATCACAGGGTGATTGTCAAGATTAAATGTGGCTTAGTATGGAACTGTGCCAGGTACCCAGGTGCTTAGTAAGTACACTGTTGTTATAGTTGGTTGAATCTGTACCATTAATTCTCCCTCCCCAGGCAAGACTTCTGGCTGTGGTCCATGGGCCTCTGAGGAGGCGTAAGTCCACCCAGCTCCCCACTTGGTGTGTGCTCCCACTCAATGGGAAGGGATTCAAGGTATCAGGGCCAGCACCATTCTAGGGTAACCTCTCTGGGTTCAGACATTGGCACAGATTTGG